TTGGAAAATATGTAGAAAAATATATAGGCTTCAGAAAAATATGGTTCCAAGTTTGTTAATCTTCTTATGTCATGTACTTCCTAGGAAAAATAGGTTTCATGCATGTGCTGTGGAAAAATTTTGAGGTGTAGTTCAAGTACCTTTAATGGCTGATTTTTGTTATTTTTGCTAGAGAGCAAACTTTGTATAAAACATGCATGTGATAAATTTTGTACAGTCATTGTATGCTATGAAGAACATAGGAAAAATACTAATTCTATTGTTTGACACTTTTCACAGTACAAAGTATTTTCATGTTCATGATCATGCCATAGCTTGTCATTTTTGTGTAGACTATTTTACTTATCCAAATGCCATGAAAATTTTATGGTAGTCTACTTAGAGTATTACTATGCTACTATAATTTTCTTACATTTTTATAAGCACCAGAAATATAGGTTGCTGTTGTAGCCCTAGTTTCAAATGAAATAAAATAATCCTCTTTAATGCAAGTTAGTTAATAATGTTAGCTTTGGTGTATCTTTGAAGCATTTGATAAGATGTGTTGACTTAACCTATTAGTAGTAGAAGAGAATGCAGTAGATGACATGTGTTTGTGGCATATTTTCTTGGATGATGTGACTACCTTGCATTCGAACATATCCATTGTATTCATCTCATCCGATGCACCGATTGCATAGGCACTTACACGCATTGCATCATACAGGATCGCAAACCGAGAACCCAGTCGTCATTCCCGAGGAGCCCGAGGAGCAGTTCGAGGTGCAGCCGCAGGAAGTGCCAGAAGCCGACGAGGAGGACGTTGAGGAACTTCCGGAGTGTCCCGATCACCGTCTGAGCTCCTTCGAGAGAGGCAAGCCCCAGAGCATCTTTCTCCCGGTTTGCAATGATTTCATTAAATGCTTTACTTTAAATTGATGCATTACGTTTAGGAGTTGTTTGCAACCGTTGCTGCATTATACTTTGTTTACCTTTGTTATACTATATCCTTGTTACCCTGGTATCCGCAGTCGAGTCAATGCTTAGCTGGCTTAGACCGGTAGAAGTCGGGTGATTTCCTGTCACCTGCGAGCTATAGGTGGTTACCTGGATCTGCTTTGATGACTATGAAGTCATGATATAACTAAGTGTTAAATGAAGTTGAGACCGGACGAAGACTTGCAGAGTTTTAGACTGTAGTGTTTCCGTCTGTGTCGATTAAGGACCGACCGTTGTTGGGCCTCGAGTCATGTTGAACGCATGCCTTACATTTTGCTGGCCGGATAAAGTACCTTCCGACCGCGAAGCTGGGAGATTTTTCGGGCCGAGTAGATTGCCCGCAGCGCACTGTGCCGGAGCAGGTGTGGTAGGACACGGGGGCGGGATGATAAGACCAAAGTGCAGTCGGTCGGCCCCCGGGTACATGTGGTTCCTAGCAAACTCGAGATACCTGGAAAGTTGACTCGGTGATCAATATCTCACTTTAGCGGGTGAGTGAGGTTTGTGTAAGGAATAAATCACCAGCTGGTTAGGAATCGATTCGAATCGCCATCGCTCCTGGATAGTGAGCACTTGACTTGAGTGACTTCATCGTAGTAAATGTTAATGGAACACTTGGACAGTTATAGTGAATATGACAGTATGGAAGTTGTTTAATGATCAGTGGTTATCATTATCTGCTTAATCATATGCGTGCTCTAGTATAGGTGCAAATCTAGTCGACAGGTTAATAATAATTAACTTGACAATAATGCTTTTAGAAGGGTTCTTGAAATGCTAAAAATGCTTCTTTTGCAAATGAGTCAGCTACCCTACTATAAAGCCTTCATGATCCTTGGTGTCATTTATTTTCGGTTATGTCGGGTAAGTCTAGCTGAGTACCTTCTCGTACTCAGGGTTTTATTCCCACTTGTTGCAGATGGGCAGATGTATTACGGCTATTGTATCAACTGCCTTTATCCTGCGATGGGTGATGCTTAGGACCATGGGCATGGTCATTCCTTACGTCTCGTCTAATGCTTTTGTTGGAGATGATCATTCGCTGGCACTATATTGGAACTCCGCGTGAGTGTGTGTGGTTTGAACAAATGGCTTCCGCTACTTTTATTCGAACTGGTTTTGTAATAACTATGTTTAAACTCTGATGTATCTGAGATTGCAAACTTTTATGTAATATGTGATGGTGACCGCTAAACTTATTACGATCTTGGCTGGAATGGAAGTTCGTTTGAAATCCTTCGTGATTTCACGGACTACCGGGTTATACGGGCTTAAGTTTGCTAAATCGTCTGCCCTGGCGGATGATTTTCTCACTTAATTTCGTATAATTGGTCGGTTCTGTTACAGGGACAAATAACATACTGTGCCAATGAGAACAGGCAATTCACAACATGACCTATCTTCCTACTAACTGTGTCCAAGGACCGGTCAAATCTCTCCCTAACCTGTCTATACGGCTGTCGACATGCACAAATCCAGACAAACATAGTTAAAGCTTCCCTGGACACAAGTTCTTGTGTACTTTTGAGGCCATGATCTCTCACTAAGGTATCATGCAACCTAAGGAATGCGTCCGGATACATACGGAAGTTGTCATAACACTTAAGTCGGTTGCGCAAATTCAATTCAACCCATTGCGCACCTGTGGGCTCGGGCAAAGGGATGTGAGGATTCATGTGAACAGGTTCATTAGCACGCTGCTAGTTTGGGCCTTGAGCCGGTCCATGTACTTCCCTTTCAACGCATTAACTTTGTTCTAGACCTGCTTGTTGTCATACACAGGACCTATGTGATCGGATAACCGGCGATACACGTTATTCCATCCCAGCTTAGTTAACCCCCTTTGATTCCAGTGCAGAAGGTTCTTCTGTTCAATGCATAGGTCCAACAAATAGCTCGTCGGGGCATCGTCCCAATGGGGCAGGATTGTTGGACATCTGTTCCCAGTTTTACAAGATATGATTTGGTATATGCGGTACGTATATGGTACATACAAGGGATGGCATAGCACACGGGCAACAAAAAAACACCGGTGGATGCGCAAGTAAAAAGCAGCAAGCTTGCCTTGTGAGATCGCTTGGCGTGTTTGGCACGCAGGTTGTACAGCCTGGCTTCTTATGGAGAGTAGGGAGAAGAGTACGATGGTGCCAGTGTGGGCACCGTTGAGGAGCACGACCTCTAGCCAACTATTGCGCTGTAGAAAACGTGGAAACCATAGTGTCAGTTCATATTATAGACATATAGTGAAACCCTAAACCCAAATGCGTTGGTGTGAGTGAGAGCTCCTGAAACCCTAAACCCAAATGCTGAAGACATTGGAGGCAACGTACCTAGATTCACCGGATCCGGCGACGCAAGAGAAGATGATGGCGAGGAGCGGGTCGGATCCAGCAGCGGTGACGGTGAACAGGATCAGCAGGAGGACGAGCGGGTCGGATCCGGAGCGGGCGGGGCTACCTTGACAGTGCCGCGGCCTGTCCACGGTCGCTGGGGGCTGATGTAGCCGGGGCCCGACGGCGTGCAGCTTCGGCGGGGGAACGGGGGCGGTCGTGGTTCCACGGCCGGACGACCCCGACGGTCTCGGATCCGAAGCAAGCGTTCGTAGGATGGGCACGGTATATCGGGGCAAGGGCGGGACGATGGCGAGGGGATAGGGGCTCACGCCGGCCGCAGCTCGCGCCGAGAGCACGCAAGCGGTGGCGAGCTCAAGTAAACCCTAGAGGTGAGGAGCTTGAAAAGGGAATGAGAGAGGGAGAGCCGGCCGGGCTGCATGGGGGGCTTTACATGACCGAATGGTCTTTGTTTATTGCCGAGCAACGGCTGGGCTAATCAGCCCAAGCAGAAGCAGCCCATCAGCCAGCAACACAGTAGCCGAACACGGCCTCAGCCAAACCCACACTTGAACTAGTCCTATGCTGTTGGGATACATGGACTACTGACATACTAAGAGCAAATAACAGCAACTAGTTTATACACAACTAAAAATTAGCCCACCTTTTCATTCACCCGTCTAGATAGTTTAAGACTAGTCTAATGATCCAAACAGACCTTTTGAGTACTTACCTGCTTTTAAATACTTCTGACACAAACGAATAAACGTCCCGTTCGTATGGGCTTATTTGGTGATTTGTAGCCTGTTCGCTTCGGCTGAAACGATAGTGAATTATGGGAGTGTTCGGCTGGCATTAAAGGTCTACTGTAGCAGCGGGAAAACACTGTTCATACTGGAATTTGGTGAGAGAGAAACATCGCTCCTCATTGAAAAAAAAGGCCACCATGACCACCCGAAGGTGACCCAACCGAATTTCTGCTGGCTGGCTGGTTTGGTGTGAGAGAAAAATACTATTCTAACTTATAATCCACGATCATTTACGACCAAGCGAACAGGCAGTTGGTGGGAGAAAAATTGCCAAGTTTGCTACTAGTGCAGTAACAGTTTCTTTCTCTTCCTTCATAGCTGGATCTTTCACATGAGGCGATAGTATTTCAATTTTCCCTCCTCCCCCTCCTTTTTTTTTCCTCTTATCAGAAGAGATTTCTTTTCCTTCGATGAAGAGCTCAGTCTTTGCACACGATGATACCAATGCCATAGGTAAGCACAAGGAAAACGCACGGGATCGGATGGGATGTGCTTCTTCTTCTTGCTGTTTTTTACTTTGCTCTTGGATACGTTTCTTGAACAACTGTAGTCTGTGCTAGTACTAATAAACTAACAAAAAAAAATCCTATGATAAAAAACCAACCCGGCCCACTCTTTAATCTCTCTTTCCCTCTGTGTGTTCAGTGTTCTACGAGGATGAGGATGATGAATTTAGGGTGATCTCCCCAGTACAGTTCAAACAATAGTAGTAGTAAATAACCCAATGAATAATCAATTCCATGGATGGATGGTTCCAACGAGGGAGACGACCCGTGGAGACCGAGCAGTAGCATAGCAGAAGAAGAATCTGATGGAGCGAACCGACGACGACGAGGACGATGCAGGTTGCAGGTTGCAGGTTGCAGGGGCGAATTGAATGACTTCAGAAGAATTTGGTGCCGGCTCGTCCACTATGGAGCAGGTTGTGCGCGATGTCGTCCCTGGCCTTGGTGGCGCCGTCCGACCGCACTGGGTTCTCCGGAACCGTCTCGTCGTCGGCGATGTCGCAGCGGAGCGCGGGGTCCATGCCCTCCCCGCGCGACTCGCAGATGTTGTGGAGCACGCAGCAGGCGCCCAGCACCACGGGGAGGTCCTGCAGCTTCACCTCGGTGCGCTTCTGCAGGCACGCCCACCGGCCCTTGAGGCGCACGAAGGCGTCGACGGCGACGCGGCGGACCTCCGCCACCTTCTCGTTGAAGGCGTGCTGCGCCCACGTCAGGTTGGCCTGCGCGTAGGGCGCCAGCACCCAGTCCGTGAGCGGGAAGCTGGCGCCGCCCACCACCCAGGACCCCGCCATCATCCCGGCCGCCGCGCGCTGCTGCAGCGCCGACCGCTCCAGCACCTGGTCGTCGGGCATGGACCCGGGCCACCCGATGCAGACGTCGGTGAAGGCGCCGTCGGGGCCCACCACCCCTTGGAGCGTGACGGAGTAGGACGTCTTGTGGTTGCGCTCCGTGTGCCGGCGGTTGAAGTAGGCCGCCACCGACGTCTTGGGCGCGATGATGGGGATGTGGGTGGTGTAGATGGCGCCCACCACCCCCGGGATCCCGGACTCCGCCTGGAACCGGGCCTTGAACGCCTCGGCGGCCGCGGCGTCGGGCCAGCGGAGGAAGCGCGGCATCAGGAGGCCACGGATGGCGGCGCACACCTCCAGGACCAGCTTGTGGCAGGTGGAGATGCCGAGGCCGAAGCGCTTGGACACGAGGCGGAGCGGCTCCCCCGTGGCGAGCCGCCACACGCACACCGCCACGCGCTGCCGGACCGGGATGGCGGCGCGGAGCGCCGTGTCCTCCTTGGCCACGGCGGAGCCCAGCGCGTCGCAGAGCATCGCGAAGGTGGCACGACCCATCCGGAAGGCGGCGCGGAAGTCCGCCTCCGGGTAGTCGGCGCTGCTGCACTGGTCCCACCACGCGCGCGACCGGTCCTTCACCCACAGCCGCCGCTGCTGGTGCGGGCCGTGGCCGTTGCCCGCGGCGGCGGCGGCGGGCGCGGACGATGACGAAGACCCTGGTCCTCCTCCTCCTCCTCCGCCGCCGCCGCCCCCGCCGGTCACCTCCTCCTCCTCTTCCTCTTCGTCGTCGTCGTCCTGTCCCGCCTGCTGGCCAGGCCGGCTGAGCTGGAAGAGGGGGAGCTCCGGGCGCGGGGCGTCGTTGACGTCCAGGGAGGTGAGCACGCTGGTGGCGGGCCTCCTCTTGTTGCTGGCCTGTCCGTCGGCGGCGTCCCCCTCGTCGCCGCCGCCGCCGCCGCGCTTACGGCGCCGGCTCGTCGTCGTCGTCGTCTTGGGCATCGCGGCCTGCTGGAAATTGGAATTCGGAAGGGGGGATGGGATTGGGTTGGGAAGGGAGGAGGAGGTGGAAGTGGTCGGCGTCTCCGCTCCGGACCGCAGCAGGTAACGGGTAGGAAGGAGCTAGGAGGAGCAGGAGTTGGAGAAGAGAGGACCGACCGCGCCTGGCCTGGCTGGGGTCGGAGCGGAGCGGGTTGGGTTAGGTGGGTGTGAGCGCGCGCGAGGAGGAAGAGGAGCAGCAGGCGCACGGGGACATCGCTATCGGCCCGAGCGAGACTAGTGTGGAAGGGGGGAACTGGGGAAGCTGAGACTTCCTTGGAGTTGGAGCGTGAGGACGCTTTCTGGTTTTGGAGCGTGCGACGGGGACGGCGACGACGAGGGGTGCCCCGTGCCCGTGCGTGCATGGGTGTAAACGCCCGGACGCCGCGGCGACGACGGCTGGCAGTGGCATCCAGTGAGTTACTGCTTGCTCCTCTCTCTTCTCTACTCTTGGAAGAAATCGGGCAATGAATTGAATTCGGGTTGCGGGCGGCTGAGCTGGAAGAGTATCTTATCCAAGTTCTTGCCCAATTTCAGAGGAGACAAGTGGATGGCGTTGCCGGTTTCAAGTTCAACAATTGCACCCCCAGCAGTCCTTCTGTTCTTGCCAGCTTGTTCTCCTTGTCTAGTCTCAAGCTTGATTTTAACTTATTTTCTCTCATAGAACAATATTGAATCAACCGAAATCAGCTGAAATAAGTTTCAAAATGTGACCAGCCAAACACCACAATTTATGACAAAAAAAACAAAAACAAAGCACACAGAAAATATGTATAAGGTTTGTTTTGTCGATCAGAACCGATCTGGAACACGGAAATTTCACATGAGCCCCACAGAAATCCCATAGGACTTAGGTGGTGTTTAAATCCAGGGAGTAAAGTTTTAGGATGTCACATCGGGTATCACATCAAGTATTTGGATAGTAATAATAAAATAAATTATAGAAGCCCTCGGTAATCCGCGAGACAAATTTATTAAACCTAATTAATCTGAAATTAGCACATGTATATTATAGCACCACGTTGTCAAATTATAGACTAATTAGGTTTAAAAAATTAGTCGCAATTTGTGTAATTAATTATTATTTTTAGTTTATATTGTTAAACATCCGATGTGACATGGAGCAAGCTGCACGGAGAGGAACTGAACAACGCCGTAGTTCAGTTTCAGTCATGCGCTCCAAACACGGGCTACGGGCAACCCAATCAGGCTCCATATTTGTGGCTTTCATGCGCATCCTTCGGAAAGAGGACAAGCAGGCTCTCATTCGCAGCTGTTATTCCAAGGGATGGCCGGTAGGCAGCAGCTAGTTACTCTCCAGAACCAGAATGTTTTAAAACACATTCCAAGGGAAAAAGCGTCTGCGCCACAAACCCAGAGCCTAGCTAGCTCCATATTCCAAAAAAAAAAATTCATCTGAGAAACAAACCAGTACTTCGCAATCCAAATTTGAGTTAACTTATTTCACATGGCTTTTATTGTAAATAAATATAAATCCAGTAGCCAACTGCTACAGACACATGTTATCCACAAAGGCTTTTTACAAGGCACTTCCGAGGTGCAATACTGCAAGGAAATAGGTGGTCAAGAGAGCGGAGCCACCCTTCAGCCATTCCATAGGTTCCTCAAAAACTACATTATTGATCAGCTGATCTCTCTGATGTGAATTACAGGATCACATGAACCGATAAATCAACAAAGAATTGGCGAATCGCAAGTAATATACATGATCATTTCGCTTGGTTTCAACAGCTGCTTCGGAATATTGCCTGGGCCACAGACGGCTAGGCACATACTGGTCTCAGACAAAATTTATGGTGAAAGAGACGTAAGGGTGCGCCTCTGTTTCACCTCCCAGACCGGCGACGCCTACATCGTCTTCGGATTTCCAATAAAGACTGCGTTTCAAATGTTGTGTTAGTGGAAAACATGTGACTCAAAATCCAATGGACCGCAACCCAAAACACTGAATTTACCTATGGGCATTGCCACAGAGCTCCTCTAAGATGCTCCTTACTTTCTTCTCACTCTTTGTAGATGGTGCAAGAACAGCAGACTGATGCAAAACATATGATCAGACGAGAAATGGAAGTATAATATTCACCATAATAAACAACCGTCTGAGCGAATTACCAGGAATGATGGAGGGAGACCATATCTAAGGATGCTCTCTACAAAGACACGAACAGCACAGAAGTGCATCCAGGAACTGAATACCTGTACCATAATAATTGCAATTCACAAGCAAGAAATGAGATATGAGTACGAGAGAGAAAGAAGGCAAAACAAATTCAGCAAACCTAACCACACCAAGAAAGCACTTGATTCAAAAATACTACAGTCATGTCTACTGAAGCAACCATCAACGACATGTGCCTGACCAATATTAAAAACCTAGCCAAGGCTCAGTAAAACTAAGAGTTTCACGACCCTAAAAACAACAAAAAGCAGGATAGCAGTTTTTCTGCTTCACTGACTTTCCAAGAATTAGAGTTCCATATCATGCACAGCTTATAATAACATAATAAGGCCAATTCATAGCTTTAACTAACAAATGGCGATGCATCCTAATCTGACTTAAAACATTGTGATCAATGCGTTACCACCATACGAATTTTTCCATAAATAACAAGGTTGTATCGGTGAAATATTAACATAAAGCAAAAACCAGTTCCAGCATGCCACAGAGTCAGGATTCACAACAAATGTCCTTACTTAAAATTTCAAATAAGAGAAACCTATCAATTCTAATGCAAATGAAGACAATAATGACAGGAAACATTAACGGCATAATGGCTTTACATAGAAACATGGCCTAAAATTTCCATTCAACATTAGTGACACTTACAGCAGAAACGTAACCAATAGAATCTTTAAGGAAAGAAAATACAGTCGTTGTTAGGACCACTAGATTATGTAGGAAAAGACAAGTACCTCGCTGTAGCTGGCATAGCACCATTGAAGAAGAGTGGTCCTCATAGCTTCTTGGTCTTGCAGTAGCTTCTCCATCTCCTGCTTCCAACTTTCCTGTGCTTCAGGACTGTACTCAAAATCACGGACCTGGAATCAAATGACATAAAACTTAGTGGATGACAAAAGACTAAAGCAGGATAACCAGATTTAATGTAAAGTGTAAACAAAAGACTCTCAAGGAAACCTTACCTGAAAACCCTTCTCGCGGGCACGGACCTTAAAGTTGTCAACAACCTTGGCAAATAGTGTCACAGTGTAGAGAGCATATTCGTTATCTTCATAGAGCTTTTTAGATGACCTAGGTACCTATAAAATTATCAGTTAGCTCATATGAATGGGGCAGTCAAATCAAGTATGAATATAACCATATAAGGAAATCAAGGACATAATTTACACAACCTTGACAGGTTTTAATTAAAGTAAAATTCTCCTAAGGATAGTTAAAAACATTATTCAATTCTCTTCAAAAGTAAAGTTATAAGAAAAATATGTCAATTTGGGAGGTTCTAACAAGCAGAAAGCATGATAAATGAAGAGCACAATAAAAATTTAACCTTACCACAAATGTGTCAAGTGTCTCATAGCTTGACAACCAGTCTTTTTGGGAGTACTTGGGAACAATCGCAAGAAGGGTCACAAGATGTTCCGAGGTGATCATATCCTCCGGTTTTACCAGATTGGAAAGATCACGAACCGCTAAGCTTTCACACAATAAAAAGACAAACTAATTAGTATAGGAAAAGCAACAGATGAAATGAATATATCATTCAGTTCCGCTCTCCTGTTCCTTTTACAATAAACAAGAAAGAAAATGCGTAATGGTCTTGGCATCAAGCACTTCCTCTAGGGTCCGCACACACAAGTATGAGTGTATGACAATGCAATTTACCTCCCACTTTGCTTTCTGTTGATTGCACTAAGCTGGCTCCTTACATTATTATATTCCGCTGCTCGAACCTGGGGAAGAGAGTATTTTTTTTAGAAGTTGTGAATTAAAAATAAAGCATATAAGTTATTGACGAGATGTATCAGTACAATAAAAACGAGAGTCATAGAATTGAAGGCAAAGATAAAACCACAGCCAGAGAACCAAATGGTATTTTAGCTGAGAAACACGATTTTTCTTTGTCCTGAGTCCTGACAAAATCTGGGATCAATGGTTTCTCGTCACTTTGCATCCTAGTGGTTCCGTAATTCTGTATCAGAAGCATGTGACAACTCTATGCTAGGACAAGTGGCAGTAGATCTAATAGTCAAACAAACAGTGGTTAGAACAATGTAGTGATAACGGTAAATTGACATGAAAGCAAGCAAAATCCCCTAGAATGCACTGTCAACCGTACTGAGCTCCTTTGAAATTTACACGTTTGGGAAACAAGTATAAACATGGCATCTTATTACACATATATGAGTATGGTTGTATATATTTCAGTTGTGACGAAGTCTGAAGAGCAACCTTAGCTCCTAAATCCCAACCAACAGTAGTAAATAAACTTTCCGCGAGTCTAGCTAATGAATTGATGTTGCTATACAAGCGACAAATTGGGGTAGGACAGGACAGGACACAAAAAAGGATAAGCAAAGAGGAGACTAAGACGTGCAAACAGACCTTCATATCATCCTCAATCTTGGCAACCTGTGACTGAATGCTGCCGACAATCTCCTTGAGCGGAGACATTGTGGGGTACTTGCCCTCATCCCACACGAACCTGCACGCGCAGCCAACACAGAAGCTTTTAAGCTAAACAGAACATTCATCCGATCGGCTGGGCAGTATATTAGTTTGCAGCAGACCTAGTGAGGTAGGTGTCGACGGGGACGCCATCGACGGTGAGGGTCCCACTCTCGACCCCTCCGGCGCGCTCGAGGTCCTCGATCTGCCTCCGGATCTTGTGCGACACGCCCTCCACGAAGACATTGGACTGCAGGCAGGGTATAGATGGCATTGAATCAGAGGCTAGTGCTCGGGGCAGCATAAGGGAGAGGGAAAA